AACCCCCAACACCCACCCCTCTCCCATCCCAGCCCCACCCAGGCCACTCAGGCCCCCAGAAGCCCCTCACAACTCAGGACTCATGGAACTTAACTCTGCATGGTCACCAGAGGGTTAACGTGCCCACACTCTTATCTCATGGGAGTGGGGGCCCCAACCTAGAGATGTGTCCTAACAGGCCAGCTGTGGCAGGTCCCTGCATCCCAGTGAACCAGGGAAGCGTTCAGGAGAGAGGGGCACCCGTGGCAGGGCCAGAAACTCGTTCCTGGGCTTTATCGCTCACCCCAGCTGCCCGGATCTCAGGGCCCAGGACACACGGCCCAGAACCTCCGCCCCCACACTGGAACCCTTAACCCTTTTCTCCTGGCCAGCAGTAGCGCAATGCCTGCTGCACGCCCATCCCAGGACAGATGCCCTTGGTACCCAGTCCCACTGATGCCTCCCCAAAGCCACGAGGCAGGCGCTATCATCACCCCCTTCTTACAGATGAAGAGAGGCACAGAGAGGGAAGCAGCTCACCCAAGGCCACACAGCCTGGAAGAGAGGCACAGAGAGGGAAGCAGCTCACCCAAGGCCACACAGCCTGGAGATGGAATGCTGAGTCCCACAGTTCTGACTGTGCCCACTCGATGCCCTGACCCGCTGTTCCAGAAGCTGTTCTCCTGGCTCAGTTTCTGCTGTGACAAGACAGAGCACAAAGCCATCTGACCACACAGCACAATGAGGCACCAGGAAGGGGAGAGGGCCACGTAAGGAAAGGGACAGGAAGGGACCTGCAAGACAGGCCTTGAAGGATGTGTAGGAGTTCGTCAAGTAAAGTAGAGGGCAAAGGGCCCCTGCAGGAAGTAGCACGGCCATGGGGACAGGGGAGAAGAGGGCTTGCAGCTTGGCGGGGTACAGGGGTGCCTGGGCCTGGCAGGCTGGGTCACTGGCTCAGGGCCGCGTCCTTCCTGAGGGGCCCAGTGCACTGGGGTGCAGAGCTGCACGGAGCATGACCATGGGGGTGGAGGGGGCTGGGGACACCTGTCTTCTGAGGTTTGAGCTGAGACTCCTCTCTTTTTGGCTCAAATAGAAACAGATCTGTGAAGGGGTCCAGACACTGTCACAGACAACCCCCAGGGATACGTGCCCGCGCCACCGGCCACCGTGGAGGCCGCCGGATCCACGTGGAAAACACGCCACCAGCGGCTCCTGCTGCTGCTGCAGAGCAGATGAGCTGTGACCCACCTAGCAGGGAGGCTGTTGCACGCTTGTGGGGGCTGCTCCCGAGTAGCCAGAACAGCCCCCGACTCCCAGCCCTGTACAGCCCTGGGCGAGGTGCAGCCTCGGAGAAGCCTTGAGGAGTAAACGCTCCCTTCTCCATCCTCCACAGAGGCCAGGGTTTAACACAAATATCCATTGTACATAGACACTTACTAACTCAAAAAAGCAACCAACCACCATCACTCAGACTCCCTTCTTTGTTTTAATTGACTTGTTAAATTGCTAGCTGTGTGGCCTCAGGCAGGTTAGCTCACCTCTCTGTGCTGTTTCTTCATCTGTATATAGAAATGATAGCGTGATCTATTGCATAAGATCGATGTGGGAACTACGTGGAAACGTCTGGACAAAACACAGCACCCAGCAACGCCGGTGTTTCCTATTCACCAACTTTACAGATTTTATTACAAAAAGCACAAATTCCCCTCCAGTCCCTCCTCCCGAGTCCCCTGTCGCCCCCAAACCCCCCCCCGGAGTCCCCCCCAGTTGGCCTGCAGCACCCCAGGTTTGCAGTGGCTCTTTTCTTATTCTCTAGACCTTTCTTGGGGTTAGGGGTGGCTCAGCCCCCAGCAAGTCACAAGGGTCCCTTTTTACTTCTCTTCATTCTTGGTGCCCACGAGGGCTTGGTAACCCAGGCTTTGGGCTGAGGGGTCAGAGCTCGGTCCACCCAGCTTTGCTGCGCTAGAGCCCTCCGCTACAGCCGGTAGACTGAGCCTCACCTTGCGCCAGCACCACCACGGCCCCAGCACCTCTCCCCACCCTCACGGAGCACACTGCCATCCACAGACAAACCCTGCAGGGGTGGCAGCAAAGAGAGACCCTCATGGAGACCCCAAGTGCTGGGAGAGCAGAAAGCAGGGGAGTCCACACAGGGCAGCCCGCACCTCCCCAGTTCCTGAGGACAGGAAAGGAGGGAGCACCTGGTGGGAAGCGGGCAGGGAGGAGGCTGGGAGCTGGGAAAGGGGTGATGGAAGGTCGCCTAGCTCCCTATCCCAGTGGCACCCACACCCGCACCCCAGCCTGAGAGACGCACTCTCTCCTGCAGAGGTCTGAGCCCACCGCCGAACAGTCCATGGGGTCCCAAGGCCCCCACAGACCAGGGGCGTCAGCCTGCTGCCTTCCCAGACGCAGAGACCCTGGGCGCTTCCACACGCACCCTGAATCCTTGTCTGCTGTGGGGGAAGAGGAAGGCCCGGAGTAGAAGAGAGGGTGTGGGCACCCCAACTCTCCCCAGACCCCGACACATGGCCATCCAGACCCCAGTGGTCTCCGCAACACCCACCCGGATGGGGTAACACTGCAGCCTTCCTTCTTTCCCAGGTCTTCAGCCTCCACCGAGGAGAGAACCCAGCGTCCTCCCCTCTGCCCCTGACTGACAGGAGCCGAGGGCTCCTTTCTGCAAGGAAAAACTTTCACGTGGTGGCTCACGCCTGTAATCCCAGCACTTTGGGAGGCTGAGGTGGGCAGATCCGAGGTCATGGGTTTGAGACCAGCCCTGCCAACATGGTGAAACCCTGTCTCTACTAAAAATACAAAAATTAGCCAGGTGTGGCGGTGGGAGCCAGTAATCCCAGCTACTCGGGAGGCTGAGGCAGGAGAATCGCTTGAACCTGGGAGGCGAGGAGCTGACATTGCGCCACTGCACTGCAGCCTCTGCGACAGAGCAAAACTCGGTCTCAAAAAAGAAAGAAGAAAAAAAAAGAAAAACTTTCATGGCCCAAGCACCTCGGTCAAGCTCTGTCCACCCAGTGTGCTCCGAGCCCGCCGTTCTGGTTCCGCCCTGTGCCGGACTGCTCCGCCGCAGCGACGGCTCCATCTAGCCCTCACCGGGAGCGAGGGCGGGGCTCGGTTCCGTGACCTGAGTCGCTTCCGACCCTCCAGCATTTCTGGCGTCTGGAGGAAGCTCTCCCCGAGTCCCCAGAGCCGCCTGACAGTCCCACTGGGCGGGGGCTTCGAGCCTGGCATCCAGATCAGGCCTTCGAGGCTGGACCCTGCCCGCCTCCACTGGCACCCCGAGCCCCCGGGGCTCCGCTTGCTCAGAAACCGAGGAAATCGCGGGGCTGCAGCCAGGGCACCCTGTCCCAGTCCAGCGACCCGAGCTGAGCAGTTCCTACGGGAGCCAGGTCCCTGCACCGAGCCCTCGGCGAGGGCGCACACCAAGGGGGCCCCGGGGGGAGGAAGAGGGCTCGAGCCCCGTAAGGAGTTAGAGGAGTCTCTGCGCCCGACTCGCCGGGGCCCCTGAGCCCTTGGCTCGCCTGTGTCCCGGCACTGGCCGCCCCGTGTCGTGCGTCCCCGTCGCCCATCCCCTTGAGCTGGGCCCGCCCGGGTCACGTGGCTCTGCGGCCGGAGCCCCAGCTCTGACCCCGCGGGGAAGGAGGGGCAGGCGCGGGAAGGGAAGGGGCGGCGCGGCGGGGCGGGCAGGGGCGGCGCGGTGGGGGCTGCGGACCCTCCCAGGCCCTGGCTCCCAGTCTTCCGCCCGCCGTTCGCCGACCCACCGCCACTGCCACCGTCGCGCCCTCCTGCCCTCGCTGCCCGCTGGCGAGTGCTCCAGCCGGGGCTGCAGCCGCGCGCCCTCGCCACCCGGCCCCTCCTGGCGCGGCGGAGCCCTGCTACCGAGACCCTGCGTCCCGCCACGGCGCCCTGCCCCGTCCTTCCCGCCCCCCACCGAGCCCACCCCGGAGACCCCTGAAACCCCTGCAGGGAGGAGGTGGGCCCGGCTTCTTGGCTGCCCCGGATGACGCGCGGGCCGCTCCCATCCCCGCCGCTCCTCTCCCTCCGGTTCGGGGACCTGCCCGGGAACGGCCCGGGCTGGGGAATGGGAAGCGCCGCCCGCGCGGCGGCACCTGCCCGGCACCAGCGCGGCGGAGGGCGCACGGTTTGGAGACCTCCACACCTCTCCTCTGCCCCGCAGGTCAGGACCGCGCCCGAGAGGATGTACCGGAGCCTGGCGCTGGCCGCGAGCCCCAGCCAGGCTGCCTACGCCGACTCGGGCTCCTTCCTGCACGCTCCAGGCACCGGCTCCTCGATGTTTGTGCCACCGGCGCGCGTCCCCTCCACGCTGTCCTACCTGCCCCGGTGCGAGCCGGGCCCACAGCCCCCCGAGCTCGCCGCGCGCCCCTGTTGGTCGCAGCCCGCCCCAGCGGATTCGTCGGCCTTCGGTCCCGGCAGCCCGCACCCGCCGGCCGCGCACCCGCCCGGGACCACCGCCTTCTCGTTCACGCACAGCCCCCAGGGACCGGGCAGCGGCAGCAGCGCGCGAGGCCGGAACCGCGGCGCCTACCAGGGCGCGCTGCGGCCTGGGGAACAGTTCGCGGCTCCGCTTGGGCGGCCCATGGGCACCTCGTATCCCACCACCTACCCGGCCTACGTGAGCCCCGACGTGGCCCCGACCTGGACCGCCGGGCCCTTCGATGGCAGCGTCCTGCACGGCCTCCCCGTCCGGAGGCCCGCCTTGGGTGAGTACGGGGCTCCACAGACTCAGGGCCGGGGCTGGCCGAATCCGGGTGCAAACCCGCACCCTGCGAAACGCTCCCTCCTCCCCCCTCCCCACAGCCCGAGCCTCCCCGCCAGGTGCCACCGCAGCACCCTAGGTACACACCCAGCACGAGAAACTCCGTCCGGGATTCCGTGTGTTCACCTGTTCATGGGAAGGAACATGCATTTCCACACGGCATTCCAGACCGCTGGTGTGGAGCCCCAAGTCTTCATCGCCGCTTTTTTTGTTTTGTTTGTTTTTGAAAAGTTTTGGAAACTATTTTTATAAAGTCCAAAATGCCGGCTTATTGAAGTGGCCACATTCGCCTCGGTTCTAGGAGGTTTACCTATTTTAATTGGAGACCTGGTTTCAGTCGCTCCCTGAGTATCAGTTTGGAGAATCGGATTCTAGGCCTTCGAAGGCCGAGGCTCTTCTCGGGTGCAGCGCAGGCACTTTCCCCCGGAGGCGGCGCCTCTGAGCTCCCCGGGGTCCATCCCGCCCCTCCGGGACCGTGGAGGCCTGGATACGCGGCAGCTCCGGAGCCGCCTTTTGGACCCTGCCGGCCACTTGGCGCAGGAAACGGGCGCAGCGCAGCTGCCGAACCCCTGGCACCCCGCCTCCCCGGACAGCCCCTTGGCCGGCGCCCACCCCCGGCGGGGAGATGATGGATCCTTGCCCCACCCCCACTGGGCGCCCGGGCCTCCCTCGCACTGGCGCCGGGCCGGGCCTGGAGGGGACCAGGAAGACCTCCACCCCCGCCACAGTGTGTTAAACCGGTCCCAGGGGGCTGCGAGGAGGAGCTGTCCCTCTAAAGGACACTGGTTGCCACCACAGCAAAGCTGACAGAGAGCGGTCTCCACCTCCCAACCCACCTCCTCCACCCTCGCAGCCCCCACCCCTGCCATGGACCCGCTTTGCAGAAAAGGAGGCCAGCAGGGTTAGCGGTCCCAGCAGAGCCAAGAGCGGCTGCCAGATAAAACCCCTTCATCGGCGGGGCGCGGTGGCTCACGCCTGTAATCCCAGCACTTTGGGAGGCCGAGGCGGGCGGATCACGAGGTCAAGAGATCGAGACCATCCTGGTCAACATGGTGAAACCCCGTCTCTACTAAAAATACAAAAAAAAAAAAGAAACTTAAGCCGGGCCTGGTGGCGCGCGCCTGTGGTCCCAGCTACTGGAGAGGCTGAGGTGGAAGAATCGCTTGAACCCAGGAGGTGGAGGTTGCAGTGAGCCAAGATTGCGCCACTGCACTCCAGCCTGGGCAAAAGAGCAAGACTCTGTCTCAAACAAAACAAAACAAAACACCCTTCATCACCTCCCCCGCCAGTGTAGACACCCCTTAATCTGCCTCCCCCGCCAGTGTAGACACCTGCTTTCCCCGCAGGTCAAACAAGCAGAGGCCAGTGCTGGATCCTGGTCTGGGAGGGTCCCAGGTGTCTGTCTTTAGGCTGTGTTTATTCACACCGTTTTTGTAAAAGCAATTCTAACAAATGTTATCATATGTAAATTAAAAATTTAAAAATAAGATTACGTAAATAAGCAAATTAATTTTAAAATAAATTTAAAGCACAAAATACGTGCTTTAAATTTATCCGTCTGACCAAAGCTGCCAGGCTTCTGGGGGGGGAGGGCGCGGCCTGATGGGGAGCTGGGAGGCTCCTGGTGAGGGGGAGGGGAGCGCCCACCAGCTGCCTGTCCCCTCAGTGTCTGACTTCTTGGAAGAGTTCCCGGGTGAGGGTCGTGAGTGTGTCAACTGCGGGGCCCTGTCCACACCCCTGTGGCGCCGGGACGGCACCGGCCACTACCTGTGCAACGCCTGTGGCCTCTACCACAAAATGAACGGCGTCAACCGGCCGCTCGTCCGCCCCCAGAAGCGCCTGGTGAGTTCGGGCTGGGGGGTGCTGGGCGAAGTGCTCACTCCAGGGGACCTCTTCAATTTACCCAGGCCACGCCAGAGCCTCTGGGGTGGGGGCAGGGGGTGTGCCAAAAACAGCCTGGATGCCCACCCTGCTGGGTCTTGGGTCTTCTCTGAGTTCTCGGTGCAGGGCAGGGATCCCAGTGGGGATGCCAGGGCCGCTAGCTCATAGCACCCAGCCCTGGGAGAGCTCAGGGGTCGGGCTCGGGAGCAGTGGTGCCAGCCAGGCTCTGCTCAGGGCTGGGTCCGGGAAGGGCTGCTGCAGGGAACCAGGAGCTCAGCCCCACGAGTCAGTGGTGGCTGACTGTGGCCTGGCCAGGTCTCCAAGGCCTCAAGGTGACCCTACCTGGGACGAGGCTCAAGGGAAGGTGACTGCTGGATACTTTATTGAAGGACGTTAAAATCTTCAATTGGAGAGTCTTTGGGTCCGCAGCCCTCGGGGAGCATTTTCAACCCATACTGAGGGACTGAAGGGACACCACGTTTATGCCTGTCCCCTGCCTCACGGGCAAAACTTGTTTTCACTTTTGGTTCTTCCTGGTTTGTGGCTGAGCAGGGAGTGGGGGACTCCGGAGCCGGACTTTTGCCCCAGGCAGGGCACAGTCCCCAGAGGCTGGGAAAGGCTGAAAGTTACTTTGTTTCCCAGGCAAACCCTTACTTTCAAGTAATTTTACAAATAAGGATTTGGGGTGTTGACGTGTTTGCAAGTTATTGAAAGTTGAGGGGCCACCATAGCCCCTGGGCTGGAAGGCTGGGCAAGGGTATGTTCCTAAGCACCAAGCCTTCCTCCGCTGGTCGTCTGGGCTCCGTGTGGGGTGAAGCCCTCCTCCGAGGGTGGTGTGGACTCTGTGTGGGGTGAAGCCCTCCTC